AAGCAAAACAGTTAAAACCGCTCTTTTCTGATTACTTAACGTATGACCTATTTTACGTTTCTTTTTTTGTGCTGTGCAGCATTTTGCTTGAATTTACCTGATTTTAAATGTTCTTTATAAATAAGAAGACCAAAATGTTTTGCTTCCATAAAATACCCTGCTTATTAAATCTTTTCTTTAGCCACATCTAAAAGTTCTTTATAGTGAAAAGGCTTCATAATCTAAGGTAGGAGATGGAATCACCTCATGCTTTGTGACTCTTTAGAGCATACCTTAGCGGTAGAACTGCAGAAACTGGTTTCTTCTAATAAAGATGTGAAACCACAAAACATAAGGTTAATGTTTGTGATGGCTTTTGACCTTGTTTTTTTCTTCCACTCTGAAACTAGAACTTCGAGGCGGTCAGTGGACCAGGCTCCAGATTCAAGGGTAAACACTCGCTCGACAGTGATGAGGAGGATGAGGGGGACGGCGCAGAGAGCAGCAAATACAATATTCTTGACACTGATGATGTGGAGGGTGAGTCTTCTTCAGATAATTCCTTGCATCTTCACATTTTGTCATGTTGCTGTAATAAGTGTTAGTGTGCTGGTTTGGGTTTTTATGCGGTAGAGCAAAACTAAGTGTTAATGTTGGTAAAGGAAAACAGGAAATCGTACTCCACATTTCTAATAGAAGACACTATTTTTTTTTATGTTTTATTAGTGAAAAACATGAGAGTAAAATTTGTCTTCTGCATTTAACCCATCCGTTTGGTATTATTGGGCCTAGAAAGGTTCTAAGGCCAAGGGTCTGGTTTTTGACCCAAATTTTAAGGATGGCGTTACTCAAAAAAGCAGCATATGTACCGATGGTAACTCTGGCATAACTGCAGAGATGCACAGCTCAGGTGTTAGGATAATTCGCCTTGACAAGTTTAAGTGATGGAACAATAAAGCCATTGTTTAAATAAATACTTTGGACGCCCAGTTATCCACAACCCGTGTAAGGAACACAGAAATGTTTAAAGAGGCCAGAAGTGAACCTTGTAGTCTATGTGCAAGATATTATGTGTGACGGAAAGCACTGCATATTACCGTGAAGATATAACTAGTGGTAACACATGAGAGCGGCATCATCTTTCTGTGAAGGAGCTTTTCATCAGCAGGGATAGGGAGGCTACTAAGGATCATATGGTAAAGAAACATTTTAGAGGCTCCAAAAAAGACTTTGACAGAGGCTCAATTTTTACAGGGAAAAATACCACCAGAGACACAGTATAATGGTTTGGATCAAACATTCACTTGCTGAAACAGCCTAGTCAAAGTCCAAAGCTAAAGCCCACGAAGAATCTGACAAGACTTGGAAGTAATGTTCCAGAATGCTTCGCACAGTATTTTAAAGGACTTTATGTCTAAAAAATTGTTAAAAAAAACAGAATCATTTTATCCCCTTCTCCATAATTAACTGCTTTGTGTCACTCTTTTTTTTTATTTTACCAATATAAAGTTTTTGGTGGCATCTGGAATAAAAAAAAAAAAAAAACTTTTGCAAGACACTTTTCTTCTTTAAATAATATCAGCTTGTTACTTAGCTTAAAAAGGAAGTTAGTTTTTTCTTGTTTTGTAATTCCAACTTTAATTTTTCTTTTTTCTTTTTAGGCCAAGAAGGGGCAACAATTGACTACGATGAAGGAGTATCCATTACTCCTTTTAACCTGGAGGAGGAGATGCAAGAAGGACACTTTGACTCTGAGGGAAACTATTTCATCAAAAAGGAAACACAGATTAGAGACAACTGGCTTGACAACATAGACTGGGTATTTACATAAAAAAAAAAAACCTGAAACATTTTGTTTTATAAGCAATTGGCAGAACGTAATAAACAAATTTTCTTGTAGGTGAAAATAAAGGAGCAACCTTTTAAGAAAAAGAAGAAAGGCCTTGGAGCCAAACGAAAACGCAGAGTTGGTGACGAGGATGAAGCTGAGGAAGAAAAGCAGAGAGAAGAGCAGCAGGCCGACCAAGAAGAAGAGGAGGAAGAGGAGATGGAGCCTGCAGAGGATCCGCTGGCTTCCTACACACAGCAGCAGCTCACCGAAGCTGTGATCGAAATGTTGCAACCCGGGGAAACGGTCGCCACTGCTCTCCGGAGGTTAGGAGGCCTGAGTGGGCGAAAGAAGGCGAAGCTGAGGGAAGAGAAAGAGCCCACAGAGGAGTCTAAAAGGGACACGGAAAAGCTTGACAGGCTCACCGCCTTAGCAGACAGACTGGTTGGATCCGGGATGTTCGAAATATATCAACAAACTTATGAAAAATTAGCCTACATGATGAAAAGCATGACCAGCAAGAGGCCGGCGGTGGAGCAGGAAAGAGGCGGGGATGACGGCGATGAGGAACAAGATGAGCTCGATATGTTTGGTGATAAATTTGACGAGAAGGTCGGCGACAAATCTGAAAGCAAAGATGAGCAGGACAATAGAGGTTCTCATGTCTTACATTTTTATGTTTACCTTTATTTTTTATCAAATCTGCTTGGTTTAATTCAATGATTTCTGTTTTACAGTGAGTGATGAAGTCATGTGGGAGTACAAATGGGAGAATGAGGAAAAGTCAGAAATCTACGGACCCTTCACCAGCGAACAGATGCAGGTAATTCATTTAATACCTAAAAGCAAAATATTTAAAGTGTTTGTATTTGGATTTTTTCCAGATGTAAGTACTTTCTGCCATTCAATTCAGATTACATCTTAAGAATAAACAAGTCTTTGGGGTAATACATAAAAATACAAAATAAATAAGCAATCAGACTTTTGTCCTATATGCCTGTTCCAAATATCTTGAAAGCTGACAAGGTTTACTAGATTATAGAGTGGTTAACTTCCCCTTCATTTAACCCCCACTGGGACCTTGTGTGTTTTAATCTTCTTAATGTGTGTTTTTCCAGGGTTGGGTGGATGAAGGTTACTTCAGCACCGGCGTCTACTGCAGGAGGGTGGATCAGGGAGAATCCCAGTTCTATAACTCGAAAAGAATCGATTTTGACCTCTACACATGAATCATGCCCCATCATGAAAATCACCGCCAGTTTCCTGTGTTCTGCGTTTCCTGATTATGGGCTTTCTTCAATCTTTACTTCTGGGAATTTAGTGTAAAAAAATATGGATTGTTTTAACCCTGCCTTTTGTTTTCTCCAAGTTGTTTTTAATTAAAAACGAATTCAACATGTATGGTGTCAATGTTTGTGTAGATTTAAACAAGTTTAACATCTCATGTGTGTTTAAGTATATTTAAGATATTGATTTAAAAAAAATCCCAATGACAGAAAATCTCCATCAGCTATTTAATATCACAAAACATGCAAATCCAGTTAACAAAATACCTTCAGTATGGTTTAAATTAGTATTACCATAATAAAGAAACTTTTGTATGATAGTCTACTTACTTTAGAATAAAGATAAATTGTGCCCTCGCATAAAAAAGTTCACACTTCCAACATCACAAGGCAACAGATCAGTTTGAGAACCTTCGAATGATTCCACATTAATCTCAGATTTTGATTCCAGTTCATCCTTCATGTTTGCATGTGGTACAGCTTCAGGAAAAACATGGAAGTAAATTTAATAATGTTTGATATATGACACTATTAAAAAATGTTGGCAGTAACTGAAGACCAGGACAGACTACGGTAAAAAGAAACTTGAAATTCAAAACATGCATGTGATTTAATTTATCCACATAGAAAAATTATTTTTTTTTTTCTTCTGTGCATTTTATTCTACAAAAGACACCAGCTAATTCATATTTTAACAAGTCTTTTGGTCTTTGCTTATTTTCTTCTACTTTCACCCCTGGAAAATAACCTATCTTTAAAGTTGACTGCAGCACTATAATGGCAGCTGATTTCTCACCCAACAATGGCAAAAAAATGATTGATGCCATTTTAAATATTTGGAAGATAGAATTTTACTGTTGGTCATATGATGCGACAAATTGTTCAGCTTACTATTATCTTTTTTTTTTAATCTAAAATGCACAGCTAAAAAAAAATTAGATAATGTCTGGAAGTTATTTAGAAAGAATAGATAATAAAAAATGTTGGTGCTTTTCTCTTTCTCTTTCTATTTTTCCATATATTATAATATAATGGAGGAGATTGAAAAAAAAAAGCAGCTTTCATGCGTTTCCAGTCGCATACCTGATTGGCTGCTCTCAATGACGTCCACAACTAACACTCCCTTATTGGTCAGATTTCGATTAGGCGTTTCAGGCGGAATAGTACTCGCGATCCGATTGGCTAGTTCAGCTTGTCTGGTAGTTAGTTGTAAAAAAACGGATACATTAGCGACTCGCTGCAGGGCGCCGTCCATCCGTCCGTCCGGCATGTCTTGTTTACAGAGGGTTTGGGATACAGACCCAAGGTCCAGTTGAAGGCTATAGGTGAGTTTATTTAACGATGTTAAGTTACATTTGATAAGACCAAGAAAATAAGATATACTCCCGCTTATTATTCAGACGTCATAAAAAAAAAAGCCATGAGAAATGACAGTTCCCGGCTACGACTACTACCTGGTGCAAACCTGCTGCTGATAGGGGTAGCAGAACCATGTATGATGGAGTCACATGAAACAATTCCTTTATCAAGTTAAAAGTAATTTATACATTGCAGTTAAAATGTAGCGTAAGTGGTTTTGTCATGCCATGGATAACTTAGCCTACAATTAAAAGTTTGTAATTAAGAAAATCCCTTCCAGGAAATAGACCACGCTCAATTTCGACCACTTCGTTCGACTAACAACGTTCAGTGAAATATTGCTGTGTTGAACCATTATCACAGTTTTCGCAGTTTATTTAAGACTTTTTTATGGATTTTTAAGAACGCTGTTTCAGCTGATAGGACCTTGATAACTTTTTATCGACCATAGCTCGTTTAAGTCATCCAACATTTAACAAGACTTGAGTTTAAAACAAAACATCCATTGTTTATTTCTTCTTATGTACTTTTCAGTTGTAGTTATGGAGAGCTTTCACTAATATATATATAGAAGATTTAACTGGATTGCAGAGTTTCTTCCTTCCACCCCACCCCGAAAACAAGTGGGAATGAAGTAATAAAATTTGAAAATAAATTATTGATTAAGAAACTTGGATCAAAGTTTATTAAACATAATTGTCCTACTATTTGAGCCTTTTCCATCGCAATGGGTAAGGCTAATTATATGATATGGGCTGTTATTTTGCAAAGTTAATGCTCTTTTTTTTTTAAGTGACTGAAAGTGATTTAAAAAGTAGCTTTTTTCCCATTTAAATGCTTTTTAATTTTTAGTTTAATTTGATCCCTTTTATATTTTGTACTATGCTGATGCATGTTCTCTTACTTTCCATTTTCCAAACAGCTTCTAATGGAGTATTTTGAAGTTTAAAAATGCTTGGTCTGAGACTTGCTGCCATTCAAAGCTGAATTACAGTGCATTTAAGTTACTTTAAGTTCAGCAGATTTTTTTGCCTGTAGCTGACTTATAGATCTGAGGTACAAGTATAACACTCATGGTGGATTCTCTTTGTCTTCACATGTTGGATTTAACCGTTTCTAGGTGGAAATATGCGGAGAATGCTCTGGAAAGTCTGCTGGTCAAATCCAGTATGGCTGCTGTGTTTATAAAATGAAGTTAAAGATACTGATATAAATAATTAGCTTCAGATCATTTGTATCCAATTAAGCAAGAGGTCACAGACATTGTATAGTAGTGAGCAGTTGGCTAATCTTATGGACACCTGCCCCGGTAGAGTAGACTATAGATCTCAAGGATGTATGTTTGAGAATTCTGATTTAGAATAATACTCTACTGGTGCCTTAGCTCTGATTTCTGAGATAATGTTTTAGTGCCAGTGTTTTAATGTTGTTTATTTAAACCATTTTCTGTTCTTTTGATTTTAGAAAAAAACTCCCATCCCTGCGAAAGAAAAGTAAGAAACATCTCAACAATATCACCTCTCTTTCGAACATTATTTTTTGTTCAAATGTTATATCCTGCATGGTTTTCTTTTTGTTGTTGTTGTTTTTTGTTTTGTTTTTCCTTTACTCGTGACTTACAGAGACTGTCAGGAACAGGAAAAGACTGAGTGAAAGGGATGTTGACTTTTCCCTCTGACTCGCTCTCCCAAATAGTTTTTCCAATGGATGAAGATGCTATTCCCCCAATTCCTGTCTGTAGTGCACCTCCCCTCAGTGAACCTCCATCACCTGTCCTCCCCCTTTCCTCAATCACCCCCAGGTATAGTTGCTCTTGCACCTTTTTGTATCATTTTTTTGTTTTTCTCCTCATATATTTTGTGATGTTCACACTGCAGCCTGAAGTGACACGAATAAGAATTTTATTTTTTTTTTTTTGCCCATATGCGACCTGTATCGTTTTATGACAGTCTGAACAACACAGATCCAATGCGACTCAGGCCACTTGGCTCTGTGTTCCTGAATCTGATATGTATCTGATAATTTTAAAGCTTCAACTAACAATTATTTTGCAAAAAGCGCAAAATATATAGATATTTTTTTCTCAATCAATCAATCAATGATCGAACAAAGAAAGAAACGCTAAAGAAAGACTTCACAAAAAAAAACAAACAAAAACAAAAAAAAACCCACCCAAGGAAGGAGGGATAGAGAAAACAGACAGAAAAAAAAAAATATTTAATCTAAAAAGAAAAACAAAAAGAGTACATAAAATATACTTTCTAACTAAGATAGAAATAATGACCGCACTAAGTAGCTCGCTCAGACAAAGAAAGGCATGACATACACTATACACAAGACAACGAACAATCAATCGATAAATAAATTAATGAATGAAATAAATAAATTAATCAAACTAACTAGTTCAGCCAGACACAGACTTTTCAAACAAAAACAACCACTAAACGAACAGCCAACATGCATCCAACCGAAAGGAAAGTAATAAACAACCAACGAAACTAACCAGCATCCAGCTACACACAAAGAACAAGAAAAAAAAAAAACAACCAGGACGAAAAAGAAGACAGAAAGCAGTATTTACTACCAACTTAAAAAAAAAGCTTGGTAAAGCAAAACCCAAGGTTGGGAAAGAAATGAAAGATTGCAAGATGCACTCTAGCACTACTATCCATCTTTACTTCTGTAAACACAGAACATGCTCGCTTGTGACATGGACACTTAAGTTGTGTGAATGAAGTTCATACAGGAGATCACATGCAAGTCACATATATTTGGAAATGTGAACAACCATGCCAAACAATCAGATTTCACACAAAAAAAATCTGAATGTAGCATTAAGGCCTACAGTGTGAATGCAGCCTAAGTAGTACTGATAGGCATTTGGGTTATTACAATGTTTTAGTAGTTCATTCGTTTCATGCAGGATCGCTATGGGACAGATTTAATTACAAACTGATGCAAATGCGTCCACATTGTGTAATTTGCTTAACTTTAAGATGTTTAGTCTTTTTAAAGCAATTATGTTCAACTTTTGACCTGAGTATTATCATTATTTGAAATAAATGAAATGATTGTTCAGGTCATTCAACACTTGGTGTGTAATGATGACCCTTTGTGGGCTGCCATTCTCTAAAACTCGGCTAAGTAACTTGAGACAGTCTGAGCTCCCTCTTAAAGACGAGAGCTAACTATGCTAAAAGTTGTTATGCAGCAATACAGACATGATGGATAACTGTCAACCAATTTTTATATTGTTTTGGAGGAATTTGCCATGTTTTCTTTGCAGTTTTTGTGAATTGGCCAAAAAGACTTTTTTTTTTTTTTCTTTTTTTTACACAATTAACCTACTTTTTCTGTTGTTGTTTGATGGTTCTGACAGTGATCCGCTACATGTTTAGAGTCAATTACTTTATTTACTCCTTTTTACAACCCTTTATCTAGTTGAATATCTTGCTTGTAAGATCTATTAGCCCACTTAATTTAATCAGGTAGGGTCTATTTAACTGATATATTGATCTTAAATGTAAGTCAGTAAGTTCTTGGGTTAGGATACTGTAATTTGATGTAAATTCATAAATTTACAAGGGAAGGTATTGCATTTTTAACTGAATATTTTTTTTCCACTGTGTGTTCCCCATGTATGATTAAAATTATATTTAAACAGGCAAAGGTTGCAATTTTGTTTGGACTGTAGATGGACTTTTACTACAAACCTTTTCTGTTTTTTGTTTTTCTTCCACTTTTGTAAGAAAAAAATTCTTCTTAATTGTACTTATAGCTTTGGAAATGATGGTCCATCTAGACAAAGGAGGAGGGGTCGCATTCAAGAAATCAGAGCCAGAACTCAGAAAAGGCTGGAAAGCGCAGACATCAAAGCTGCCCAGAACCAACCTGAAACAAATCCGTCCTCAACAAAGAAGCAAAGGGAGAGCACAAATATGGTAGTGGATCAAGTTATGACTCATTAATAGAATGACTATGAGTTGATTACATTCTGTTTTAAATCTTTTGGTCTTCGTCTGTCGTAGGTGCAAGCATCACAGTCAAATCTACTTGGAGTTGGAAAGACTCATGTACATAAGAAACCAAACAAGGTTAGTTTTCTTTCTTTCCGTTCTCTTGGAGAGAGCAACCAATTTGGAAGTAATTAGTTCTGTCTAATTTGTCATTATTAAAGCTGTATTGTGGTTGTGTGCAGATAGATGTGTGAAGGTTAATGGAGTGATTTAATCCTCCTTCACGGTCTGCTGCATCCGACACAAACAAGCAACCGGGTGTCTAATCTGACCTACTAACACACACTCCTGATATTACAGAATGAACTGCATATCTATTGACCTAATTTTCACTGTGAAACAAATGTTAGACGTCTTCTAAAATCAAGAACTTCACAACATATGTTTGTTCCAAATTTTATGAGTTGATTTATAAATATAAGTAGATGTGCTTTTTATTTTTATGTCAAATATCAAAAGCTGGTGAGAAATTTGTATTACAGTCATCAGGGGAATTATTGTCCTAATGTTTTAGGGCTTCCAGTGATTTAAAATGTGTCGTTCAGAGCCAAGTATTTGATGACAAAGCTCAAAACGATAGTTTTGTGCAAAAGTTTATTGTAAAAAAAATAAATCAAAGGATAAAATTATGGTGGTCAAACTTAAGAACATCAAGCTATTAAGTCCTCTCTGGGTCGATCTAGGATATAAATCGATCCATTCAGGCTGCATTTGTTAAACTGCACACCAACCAGATGAAGTAACTGGCCTTTCTTCTAGAGTTTCTAGAGGGGATTGCAGCCAGTGTCTGAAATAACAGCAACTGCAGCTACCTTAACTTTTGTGAGCAGTGGCACCAAAAAACTATTTTACTGAGCTTCATTGTTGGTCTGTTCAATTCACTGGAGAAGCAGCATATTGGATAATTATTATTTATTACAGATATATTAGTAACAGACCAACAATCTACTATATAGTAAATAAAAGCATATACCGGTACCAGTTTTCTCTTTCCTGTTTTGACAGGAAATGTTTTATTTTTGCATTATTTTTCAAGAACATAGTAAGCTTGAAGAGGCTTTTTAATTTTTTTTTTTTTTTTGGTACACAACAAACTGAGGTTTCTAGAATGGTCTGTGGTCTTAAGCTGATGTGCATTTGCATTTTTGGGACCAAAACAGTGATGTATGTCTTATCTGCATTAAGCTGGAAGAAAGTCACATCTGATCCTCATTGATATTGACCTGAAGACTGTAAGGGGCTTTAAAAATTTTATCATATGGATATAAACTTGTTATCAGCAGAGATTTGGTGACAGAGATGTAATTTAAACCAGATTTCTGGTTTAAATTACAACTGATTTTTGTCAACATAGATTTATGATTACTTGATTACTAAAAGATACCATGAACAATCAAATGCCACAAACTGGAATATAGAATTCAGATTCAGCAGCACAGAAATAACATGTGTTTAATTTTTTATAGATTCCAACCCTGGCTGTATATTTGAACAAATCTACACAGAATATTATTCTATTTAAACTCTTCTTCCTGAATATCTATGTTCCAAGCATGGTCCATAAAATGTCCTCTTGGTTGAGGCCAGTGCCGTCTCAGAAACCAAATGGTCCCATTGTTCATTCAGAAACCAGTTTTTATACAGATTTTGAATCATCATTTGGTTGAAAAAGCCTGCTTTGCCATGTTTTTCCACCGCCAGACCCACAGAACCACTTTCAGATGACTGAAGTTGATTGCAGAGGATCAGGACAAATTTCAATTTCAAGTTTTCCATTGTAACCCTGTTATTATTGAAAATGGCATGTCTGGAAGAAACATGTTAGCCTCAATTTGAGTGTTTAGGCAAATGGATGTTAATAAATGTCTATAGGGGTCCATGTGTATATTGGTGCATGCATGTGGATCTAAGAAAATAAATCCTGTAGTCGTACTCATGTACCAATTGTTTTAGAAGATTCCCAAAGTTGTTTAAGTAATCCACATTAAGAATATACATTTCCATAATATGCTAATGAAGATTCTCAGTTATCCAGGTCATAGTCATTCTGTAAAGGTTTAAAAAACAACCCACTGGACTTGGTTTCCAAGGTTTGACATTTGAATTGAGAAAGCTTCCTGGAGGGGAAGCGAAACGTCTTCAAACCTTGGAAACCAAGTCCAGTGGATAGTTTTTTTTAAACCTTTACGGAATAATATGCTAATGTTAACTCATCCTGATGACATGGACCAAACCAACTGAAAAAATATGCATTTTATTTGCAGGTTGGATTTTCTATCAGTTTTACAGCAGAGCACCAAAATGAGTAAGTAAACATACTTGGAATGTTTATTCTTAAGTTTTCCTACCAAACAAAGTTTATTTCATGATGTACTGTTTGCAAAGCAGCTCTGATTCGTTGCCTTTGTTTTTTTTGTTTCCCTTTAATTATTTATAGGCTGAAGAACTCAAATGACCCAGAAAATGAGGCCGATGCCTCTCCTTTGGAAGATGTCTTGGAACCATTGCTAGAACAGAAAACACAAAATCCTGATGTGACTAAAGCTGACGTGGACACATGTCGGGATTTAACAGGTGGTGACCTTAGTAAAGACACCTCTGTCTCAAGGGGATGGGTGATCGTCCCGTTTTTTGAGTCCCTGAAATCAAAGATGGCCAGCTTCACTGAGATTGTGATGACTCCAGTTAAACTCTTCAGAGCCAGTAGTCCTCCACCACCCACGGTTAAGGAGCTGGAGGTCAAAGGAGAAACTGATGTCAATGAATCCGAGCAATGCAATAAGTTTAGTTCAGAAGCACAATTTCTTACCAGCCAGCATGGCCTCATTGACTCCTCAGAAACAAAGAGTGCTGAAAATATTGCACCCAAATATGCTAAAAGACTGATGTTTGATGATTCAGTATGTAGGACTGAACAGCATTTAGAAGATGCAATAGGTAAAAAAGATACACCCGTACCTGATGTAGTGCCTTTGGTGCATGATTCCTTAACCTGCATAGATTCTGAAGGAGTTGCTGAACTTTGGGGATCCTCCGTCCTGTTACAACCTTCATCCAAAGTATGTGCCTCAAATGAATCAAGCTTAAAAGTTTACTCTGCTGTGGAGGATCCGAAAGGCAAACTGTCCAGTTTAAAACCACTCTTGAGACAAGATACAGGAAATGGATATGAATCAGTGGAGGATGACTCTGCGGACAGAAATCGACTGATTAAACTTCAGCTCAACAGTGACGAGACTGCTAATTTAGAAGGTTGCAGCCTGGTTCGACAAAGCCTCAGCACAAATAGAAGCCCACTGAAGCCTTCTGTAGATACAGAGCAGATGGAGTGCCAACAAATCCCTGAGATGCATTCAGTGTCAAACCTCGCACAAGCCAAGAGGGGGCTGAAGCACAACTGTGCTTCTCAACAAACTCTAAATAGGAAAAACAAGACACTGCCTGTGGATGTCGATGGATTGCAGGGGACAAGAGCTCCCAGAAAGAGGGTTGCAGTCATGCACAGTATTGCAGGTGTAGAGGAAACTCTAAAACCTGACGACAAAAGACGGGCTGTGTCAACAAGAGCAAACACAAAAGGAAAAAACGAACAGGACAACAGGATGGTTTGCTTATTGGATGACAGTATTAGTGAGTCACACCATTCAAAGTCTAAAAAAGCAAAGCTTAGTAGTCCACGCAAAAGACTGCAAACAAAAACAACTCTTAGTAAATTTGATGTAAGCAGTGCTGATATTATGAATGTTGAGACTGCCGTGCCTATCCCCCCTGCTAAACATGTGAAAAGGCAATTATCTGTAGTCCTTGTACGCCCTGCAATGAAGGACCTCCAGCACTTAAGCAAGTGTGGGAATACAAATACGAAGCCGTTAAAACGCAAAACGCCAAATCACAAAAGTTTAGAAACTGAATCTGAGAGAATTTTGGTGCCTGTCTCGTCGCTTGATGGACTGGAACCTATGAACACAGACAATAACTCCGCTCTAAGTGATCAAAGAGAAGATGCATCAACCAGAGAAGCACAGGAACCATCTAAAAGGCTCAAGAACAGTCTGCGAAGTGCTGTTAAGCTCTCAGTCTTAGCTGAAACTCAAGAGAAAATCAAAGACGGCCAGCTAAACAGTTGCAGAGGTAAAACCTCTGAAGTCGGAGTATTTTTGGGAATGAAACCTGAAAATAATCTCCAACAACCAAATTTGAAACTTCCTCTACGCTATTCCGGACGGTTGAATAAGGAGGATAGAGTTGTTACAGAAAAGAAAAGGAAGAGTTCAGCTTCCATGGCAGCTCAGAATTTTCTCAAAGACTCAAAGACTGAATTCAGCAGCTGTAGTCCTAACCCGAAGATCAGACATGTTAACATTAGGCAACGAAGAACAGATAACCAAAGAAGGAGATGCAGGGTTTTGCATAACAGGACTTGTAAAACTGAAGAGGAATCCAGATCTATCACGGTGGAGGATGCAGATCTGGCTTCCTCACGTGTTCACGCATCACAAGATAACTTTTCAAGGCGACTCTTACGCAGCTACTCATGCCCAGACATCCTCATCCTCCATTCTGATGAATCACCCTGGACTTCTCCTCCACATTCACCACATCACAGGGCTCATGCATCTCACCACTACCATCATCACCACGGCCATTTGAATTCCCACGCTCAGAGGTCCCTTAGACGGGAGCGTCGGCACACAGTTTCCAGTGTGGAGGTGGAGAGGGAGATTGCCCCTCTCTGTCTTCGGAAAGAGGTGTACCCATCAAGAAGATCTGCCTCTTGCGAATCCATGACCCATCACCTGTCACCTACTCACACACATTCCCATTGCAGCTCCCTCACCGCTCTTGCCTCCTGCTTCCTCTCAAGTCCTCTGGCTTTCCTTTCCAAAAAATTTGAATGCAGGGGAACTGCTACCAGCCCCAATACTTCTTGCCGTGTTCCCTCGCCACCCCCTTCCTCTTCATGTTCCACCACGTGGCATTCTCCAGGTTTAACTCTAGGATCTAAAGCTGCTACTGTTTTGGAATCCAGCAGCAGGTAGGAGTTCTTACAGTGATTTATTTCGTTACGCTTTTCTGATATGTTGTTCTGATCTAAACCGTATTACTTCAAAGTGAGAATCCGGCAGCGTATGAGACGGAGAGGAGGCAGCAAAGTGAAGAGGAGGATTATGGCGAAGACACCAGCTCCTCCGGTCAGGAGTTTGAAGATGCTGGGTTGAGAGAGGAAAAAGCTCTGTCTGACTCCGAGATTAAAGTATGTATGCTCTTTTAATACCTACATAGTTATAATTTCCTTTAAAGTTGAATTGCACATGTACCAGTAAAATGAATTCCAGTCACTCCATTGGCTCTTAAAAGTTTACACACGTCTGTTAAAGTGTCAAGATTTTATGACCAAAATGATTAAGATCATGAAAAATACCATCCAAACTTTGTCCTTAAAATGAGATGATTTTTTGTTACAATTAATTTAGAAAACAAATTTTTTTGGAGAAAATATGATTAAAATGTTAAATATGTTTGTAATATTGGTCAGAGCCTGTAACTAACTGTGACAATAGAGGGTTTGAGGTCAGAAATGAATTGTATTTCGATTAATTCATGATTTTCATTAATTAATTTACAGCTGGACATTATTTTGGGTTCCTGAAAGCCACTACATCTGATTTAAGGTGTCCTGAAAATGAGGAAAAAATTGCAGTGGAAGGTGGAGAGGGAGATATCCCCTCTCTGTCCTTGGAAGAGACCAGCTCAGTTTAAATTTAAGTTAGATCCGGGTGTGTAAACTTTCAAGTGCCATTATTGGTGGATTTGAACAAGAAAATTGTATTGAACCTTTCAATTTCAGTCAACTGGCAGCCACGTAAAACCTGAATGTAAACCTGAGTGTATTTCAATATTCAGAGGTTGTTTAGCAGTGGAAGGAAAAAGGCTAATAGTGTAGGAGCTTATGATGTTCTTAATGGGTTGTTGTTTTTTTTTTTAAGGTTGTCAAGAAACATGAAGAACAAAAAAAGGTGTCATCCATCAAGATTCGAAAAACTTTACCAAAACCTCAGACCAACCTGACACCTATGGGTCTGCCCAAACCCATCAGGTAGGTTAAATAAAAACCAGCCCACACATTTGGTAAACCTTTACACTACAGCTGAATGTTCCTAGAATTTCAGCTTTAGTACATCAGATTAGGTGCTTAACATTAGGCATGAGGCTGAGATAATACAGCATAATGGCAGCTGATATTTCCCTAAAGGCTGATTTATACTTTGAAACCAGGTCCTCTGTATAGGTGTTGCAGTGAACAAAAAGCCATCCCAGCCCCCTCCGCAGACACTCCGCTGCACCTCTCCCAAATTGTAACTGACCGCAGACAGCGCCGCAGACAGGAGGCTGGCTTGTTTTGTTTTTATGACTGAAATTGCGGAAAAAAACTTGTAAAATTAGACCAGCTAGAAGATCGAGGTACGCAAGAATGCGGCAAACGTTTTTCCACCTGGATCCCTGCTATTTTTTGCCGTCACGTCCCTCCGTTGTCGGACAAACTCGCCCCCACTTCCTCACTGCCTCGGCTGTATCTAGACCCACAGCGTATAGCACAGACCACGCTTCAATATTGACCATAAGTCAAAAATTTATTTTTAAGCTCACTGCGACACACTGCTGCAGGAGTATAACCAGCCCTTAATTGTAGTACAGCTTTCCTACATTTACTGATGTGTTTTTTTTTTTTTTTTTAAACAAAGGNTCGATCATACTATTAGTACGGAATAGTACATTAGATAAAGGTGGAGGATATGTCTGTGTATGCCTACAGAATACGATACAAAAAAATCGAAAGCAAATACTTCTTTGCTTTCTATCTTTAGCGTCATTTGGAGTATGAATCAATATCTTTAGCCACTCATGTAAAGTTGTATCAAAACAAAACATAATTTCTGGTAAGGTAAAAACAAGATTTGTTTTCTTAAATCAATAAGTACATACTGGTCATGGTTATAGTATGGATGTTCAACTGGATAGGTTAAAAATTCAATGTTGCCTTCGGAAAGACCAGGCTTTGCTATATGCACCAAAGGTTCCTTTTACCTTGGATGTGCATTTAAAAGGTGTTTTTATACATTTTTGAGTAAACGTTAACAAGTCAGACAGTTGCCTGTCTAAACTGACATCTATACTGCATGTCTGAGATGGAGAAGAAGCATACAGTAGCTATGTTTACTACACAGGGGAGATGGCTTTCTGATCAGAAAATGGATGTTTACGCTTTGGAAAATATCCTAATGTGCATCTTAATTTATCCTCATAAAGGTAAATTATGTCTGATTCTGTGATCTTCGATCAGATCCAGGTTTCACAGCAGGATTTTTGTTATCAGTGGCTTTATGCTATGCCAAACTTATAACATCTTTTTTTTTTTTTTTTTGTCTCTTTGTCAATTAAGTTCACTTGTTTTTCTTTTGAACATGATGGATGAATATCCTGATTTAAACTTTTTTTTTTTTTTTGCTTATATAGCTCTGGGAATAGATGTCCCAGATCTATCTGGTAGCCCAACAGCTTTTCTTTCACAAGCAGACAATTATGACTGCTGCCATAATGTTCTGCTTGGTCCATGTGTATAAAAGTCTTTATTGAAAATGATTTGGGGAGTAAAGTCATATACAATGGAGTTGGAAAGGGAGGTGAGAAAGAAAAAGGGGTATAAGAATTAAGGGGAAAGAGAAAGGGACAGAAAAATGGTGCATGAAAAGAGAAAAGATGGCAAAAATAGACAACACAGACGATACACTGTAACTCCAAGAAGTCTGCTTCCACACCTATATGAGATTAGTGGGCCTGATATGGGGAATATAACAGCAAAAAAAAGAGGACAACCAAAGTAAACCTCATGAAAACCTTGAAGAGTAGCGCGTATCCCTTAGATATCCGTGTGTTTCAAAAGCAAAACCTGTTGATTAAACAATATTATTCAGGGTGGTATATATCTGTAGCTACAGCTTAGTATTGTATATCTGGGAAGAGCTAGAACCAAACTCCCTTAGTATGTATGCATGGACATGCTCGTGAATAAAGGACTTGCAAAGCTTCTACAAAAGGAAAATATCCTTAATAGCAGTTGTGGGCAGCCCCAGACTCTCCCTAAAGGGATCCCTGGATCAATAAAGAGGTGATCCATGTCTCAGATATCCAGAGGCAGCCCAGACCCCTGGGACACGAAGAGGGAGACCTAGAGATGGCCGCACCCAACAGAGAAGGGCAGGCGAGGGCATCCGGAGCCTGATCCCTGAGGGACCAAACCCAGGAGACCATACCGAGCTCATGGGCTCTGCTGGTGGTCAGTAATGCACTGGGGGGACTCCGGGACCCCAAAGTGCCAGGAGGCCAAGGCCAGGCCCAGGCCTGGCAGGAATGAGACTGAGCCCACTGAAGAACCCAACTCTGCACCTAGAGAACCATCAGCAGATATTGGAACCTGTCACTAGTGGGGTTTAGGCAACCCTGCTCATATTTGGGGCCTAGGATGTTCAGCAGGTAGCGTGAGTGAGGCAAACACCCATACTGATGATACTAAATCCCTTTATTGCCCACAACGGGGACATTTGCTCTCTTCGTTTTGACCCATCCCCTTCAGGAGCAGTGGGCCGCCGTTGTGTGGTGCCTGGGGAGCAACCAGGGGTTGAGGGTTTTGCTCAGGAACCCAAAATGAAGGCTGTGGGGATCAGAGCACAAGTGCACTGCTTCAACCCGCTAGGCCAACAATGATAAAGAGATAACTTCACATTCACACAATCATTTCTGTTTTTTTCTCCATCAGGGTGAAAAAGAAGGAGTTCAGTTTGGAAGAAATTTACACAAATAAAAATTTCAGCAAGCCTCCAGAAAGGTAAGCCAAGATCTGGTTTGTTTTTCATTTTTTTCTATACATGTAGAGGAAGGCATAATTTATTAATAAATATTAGGACTGAAACAATTAATCAGATTTATTGGGATTAATTGATTATTGAAATAATCATCAACTAATTTAGTGATGGATTAATTGTTAACTGTAGTATAGAGACTCTAAAACATGCTTTTAGCTGACAGAGCAACCCACGTAGTAATTATTGCAAAATTTAAAAAAAAAAATATGTAAACATTTAAACTTTTAAGATAAAAAACGTTTTCATCAATATGTTCTATTCAGAACTCCTCAAGTGTTGCAGCCCCTAATAAATATTATTCCAATGATGATGTGCAATTGTAACTTAAGACCTGTCTATGGAGACTGTTGAACTGAAACATCCCTTTATTTATGACATGGTTTTTCTTTGTTGTGCCAGGACCATTCATCCCTTTGAACAATTCTTGCTCCTTGAGCTTTTTACTTTTCTAAACAGACTGCTGGCAGCTTGTCCAAAGTAGACGAGAGGTCTGTTTGGCTCAGATCTTGGCATCAAATTGGCCTGTAATTCATAAGTTAGAGAGGAAGTGAAACATGTTGGCAAAGTAGAAACTCATCCGCTTTAGAAAATATGCAACCTACAGTGGCAAAATCCTGACATAAACATGAAACACAGTTTTTAATTGCAGGCAGTTTTGTTCAGCAGCTATTGCAGTTTTAAGTTGACTCTCAAATTGGTTTGTGTTTCTACATTTCACTGTAATTGGGTGATCTCAGTTTTTTGCACAACATTCGATCTTGTGAGTCCACTGGTCTGTTGAAGGAAACTTCTACAGAACCTCACAAGCAATGTCACATGTAGGGATGACTCAAGCTGTCATGTAATTATTTGGAATTTGGAAAATTCCTTTTACTTTTCAGGTTATATTTTGATGTATCTGAAACATGCATGTTCCAAAAAAGCAAAAGAAATCTGAAAAAGACTGCCTCTCTTGGGACCTGTTATCGATGACATGGTCTCCCCTCTGGATTGGCTTCAGGATAATGAATCTATTTGTGTCTTAAAAATCTGACGTCCACCTGGTTTCTATTTCTGTAATGGTCTGAGGCTGGGAGTGAAAAAGCATCAGAACAGTAGAAGAAAAGGGATGAAGAAAGTTGCAGCTTAATATTATTTCTATGTCTGCTTTTCTGACCATTGTAGGTATAAGACCAGAGATTCTCTCAGCTGATGTGTTTAGAGTCCAGATTGTGTTCCTCCAGAGCTATACCTCATAGAACAGCCACATAGAACATATAAAAATGCTTCTACTGGTATGAGATCAATCAGAATTCTGTGAGGCTGCTCCCTCCTCCCACACACACACACATTGGTTCTTGCAGGGATTGTCAAATATATCTGAACCAAGCTCCCCTGATAAAACAAAATGCATAAGTTTCATATTGATTACTTTCATTTCTTGTGAACTATTGACACAAACTGTTTGTTAAAGCTAGTGTTGCACCGATACAGATACACTAAATGGGGTTATCAATATCGACGAGTCCCAGGGGCACCGATACCATTTTGAGAGCCAAAAGTTTATTCAAATATTGTCACCCATTCCAGGTAGGCAATAAAAATGTCTACTGGATTCACTTTGTATTAGTCTTTTTCCTGCTTCAAAAAGTTAGGCAGCAGCTTGAGAAAGCCATGAGGGCAATTATTTAATTATTAAATCCTGTTAGTTTGGGCCAACCAAAATACTTTCTCAGATGGAGAAAAGCAGAAGCACAGGTTACAAAGGTGAAGCAATGACCTTATCATTATGCTGACTCATACATGATGTCATTATTGATTTCTGTTATTGCACACTTTATTAGGTAAAAAGCATTTATAGAAGACCGATTGAACCTAGTAGATAAAGTTTGTGTGAAAGCTTGCATTAAATCAGGTGTAAAATTGTGGACTAAAGTTTAAAACTGGTTCTTGTATAGAGTTGGCTTTTATATATATATATTTTACATGTTATCAAAGAGAGTGGCTGATAGTTCCCCTGGTTTCATTTAGCATGATATGTATGTGTGTATGGGGCTGTGAGTAACATTAAAGTGAGGACAGTTTCTCCCATTTAACATTCAAACTATAGACTGTTGGTACCAAAGTGAGGACATTAAGCTGGTCCTCACTACATATAGAAAGATTAGTATGTGTGAGTCATTTAATGAACTCCAAGGATCTAAAATGATTTAAATATGACATCAGTTTTCAGACTAGCCTCATTCATTAAACCAAAATTATGCCAGGATGGAAAAAGCTGCGGCACAGCACCAGTTCATTCTTCTTTTTTTTTTTTCTTTTTTTTTCTCCCTCCTGTAATAAAGCAGTAAATACTTGAACCAGAGGGTGGCGCTTAAGTAATTGATGTTATCAAAAATCAGCTGCACCTCTTTTCAAAACTCACCTTTGATACAGTCTTAAACATCCCAGTGACATTTTTTTATTTTTAATCTTTCAGCCGCCTTGAAACCATATTTGAAGTCCCTCTCAATCGTAAGAATGGCTCAGAGTCCTGGTTCGGCCCGAGGCGTGTCAAGCGGTTCCTCGAGTTCTTGGAGGTCGGTGAGGTGAGGAAGCCAAAGAAGCCTCTCGTTGGAGTTGGGAAAGCAGGTCCTTCCTCATCAAGGCCACGACGAGGAGGTTTTCCTAAAGATGGAGTGTCCCTCAGTGTTCAGGATGTGGACTCCCTGCTCTGCTCCAAGCTGGATGAGTTAAATCTGTGGCTGATACATGATCAGAGCAATGGCTGAAGGAAGAGTCTCCGGTAGCAATTATTGGGCTACAATGAAAAACCAGTTGGTGCTGTTCCTGTGGGTTATTATGACGGCGGTCTTCTGCCGTTTAGGTCCGTTCAAATGCTGTTGTTGGAAGCTACAAATGAATCTCTCTGGCCTCTAAATAAAAGAACTGTACATCATGGCATAAAAAATATTGACCTGGAGAAATTATTTATAGGCATAAATATTTGTCTGGTAATGACCTGTAAAGCAAAATTTTATTTATTCCAAACATTTTGAAATAAAGTTTCTCTTTGTACATTAGTAGTTCACGTTTGTTTAATAGTTCTAGAGCAGGGACATTTTACAAGTTCTACAAGGGCAAGTTGAAATCAAATTGATATTAAATCCAATTTGATTTATTCTTTTATGAAATGAAGCAGCCAAACTTGCTTGTGTTTATCTCCTTGCAGCATCATTGTGAGTTATAATGGCAGCTATTTTTTTCTTTTTATATTAAAGCCTATATATAACTTTTAAAAGTGTCTGCGAGAGATTTGTATTTACTACCATAAACATTTTGTGTGTTTTTTTCTTTATGTACAATCAAATGAATTTCCTGCAACTTGGAAAATGCCATAAAAATGCCTTTTATTCAGCTCAGGGCGGAAACCGATCAATCATTTGGGTTAGAAATAACAAACCTGTGGTCTTATTTCGTTCCAGTGAAATGCTGAGCCTGTCCACAGCCATTTTTATTTTTTTTATTCTCCCTGGATTTATTTGTGGTGTACATATATATATTGTAACTCTAGTTGTCAGTTTGTTGTAAATGAGGTTGCCTTAACTGTAAAATGTTTTCTTGTTGAAATGTGTCAGAATGCATCAAACAACTCCATGCTTAAGAAAATTTTTATTAAATACGTTGAACCTTGGTATAAAAGTAAAACATATGTATACATTTAAAGACAAACATAGGTAAAGTAACAAAGCAATAAGGCTAAGATAATGTCATTTTGAAGCACTGCCATCACCACCACTATGTCAGGGAAACCCAGTCCTGATAAGTATATTGTAGACCTACATTCTGTAGTATTTGTGACTTAGTATATACATACATAAGTATATTTCATATAATAAACTGTGTTAAGGAATGGGTTGTTACAGAAGTGTTTATGAAAGTGCTTTTGAAAGTGTATCACCCCTTAAAGATTTCCACAAATCAAAAATGTCCAATCGTTTAATCAAAATAGCAATGCTATATTTAGGCACATCTTTACTCAGTTTGGTTGTGTACATAGTCCAACCATGTGGAAATGTTAAGGGAGGCTGAAAACACTTCAAACGTGTCACATTGTAACCTATGGTGTTATATTTTAAAGGCAATGCTGGATTTTATCTGGTAATAATAAAAATTGTCTATGATAAATATAAGAAAGAAAAGCCATCTGTTTTTTTCTATTTAATACAGGAAAATAACAGCTGTAAAGTAAAAAAGTAGTGTTTTTTTCTCCATTTGTTTCATGTAACTTCTAATGCAAACTAGTGGTCACAGCTTTGTTTTGTTACTTTTTGCTCGATAAAACATCAAAACAAAAATCAGTAAATTTTCACAGGAATATTTTTTTTTTGTGTGTGTGTGCTGCTGTGGATGTTCAGTCGAACAGTGTAAGAATGTAGGAAATGAGAAATGTTAGTGCAATAATGCTGATTATAGTCCCAATCCCTGTCACCATGGCGATGATACTGTAGTTTCTCGACTTCTTAAAAAGCTTTTTAACTTCATCTATGTCTTGCGTCTGTTCTCCCTGGGGAAGAAAAAACAGGATTTTTAAATTAAAAGCTGAATAAGAAAAGGCACGAATAAGAGGTGTTGTACAGGCATCCAGATTTCCCTAACAACCACCTTATATGTGACAGGGTGAATGGAGGTTTTAGAGCCCCCAAATGGAGAAACGGAAGCTGAGGTGGTTTCTTGTAGATTGAATATCCAAAAAACTTGAAACAGAAGCAAAAATCTAAAATAGCAAGAGACATCAGGGTAGACACACACGAGGAGACAAGAAACAATAGACAGAAGAATCTAAACACCACAAAGTTGAAATTAAACATATGAAAACTCAAAAAGAAAACTTAAACAGAAGCAAAACGTGCATAACCGTGACATATATAACTTCACTGGCTTCCTCTTGTTACAGGATTGATTTGAAAAATGTTATTTATTCCTTTCACCTTTATAATGAAATATTTAATACAGCACCATACTGCATATATATAAAAAGATTAAGGTTAAACAGCCAGTTGCATATAGATTTGCAGGAGGTTCTGGCCCTAAAGGTAGATGGGATCATTCTGTCTATATCCTTAAAGTTAAAAAAATAAATAACTTTTTAATATTGATATTATTATCAAATCAATGTTATTCATGTCTTCTGAGCATTCTTCCTCTTTTTCCACAATTCCTATTACGCAATATGTTCCTCTTGTGGGGCTCTTTGTTGTAATTTTTTTTTTTTTTCGCAAAGTGCTACATCATTAAATTTAAGATTGATCTAGTAACTAAAGTATGGATACCCTGCTTTAGCATTTTGTTACAGCTATGTACATGTTTAATTGGATTTAATATTTAAAGCAGCTGACAGTAGTCCACAAAGTGTTGAGCTAAAGTTAGGCACTGCTTTTAATTATTTTTTAAAAACAAATAAACCACCTGCCTTGTCACTGCATTGATGGATCTGGTTACTAGAAAAGATCCCATGCTGTGAACTTTATATTAAGAGCTCTGTAAACCCTGTGACAGCTTAAGAAATCCACGGCTTGGATGGAAGAATCTGTCAACAGAACAGCTGGTAGTTCTGCTTTCACATTTGCCTCCTCTTCTGAAAAGCAGCAGGAAGGAAGCTGAAAGACGTCCCATTTGTAGTTTGCCTTGTTAGAGAAACAGGAAACATGTGGAACGAGATATAAAATGTTGTGTTTGGTAGAAAACTGACATCCCAAATAAACCATCCTATGAAACATGGTAGTGGCAGCATCGTGCTGTAGGGATTATTCCTTTAAAGGTAGAGAGGAAAGCTATTCAGGGTTGATAGAAGGAGTGATTAATCTATTGTGCAGTTAAAATGTGTTATCTTTCATTTTGTTTATCATTCATAGATATTTCAGACCCTCAAGTCAATTTTAATATGTGTTTAATATTGGAAAATAACTAGTTAAAAAGAAAGGAAGCATCAAACCCGCATGAGCCTGTATAAAACAGTGAATCCCCCCCTAAATAACTCATTCGATTGCTTTTAGCAACAATAACTGATTCTGGAAGCCAATGTGGCTTTTTTTCAGCCCTCAATTTACAAGATAAATGTCTTGAAAACAACAACAAAAAAAGAGATGTGACAAATAAAATAGAGTGGAAAGTAAATGGAGGGAGCGAAAATGCATGTGATTTAAAGGCATGTCTGCTAAAAGCACTAATGAATCTGTGAATGCATGTACATATTTGCCAATGCTGATACAAGAAAATAATGCTAATCTTGGCCAAAAATTATGTCAGTACTTTGTCTACCTGCGCCAGAGTGGATTTGGTTCAGTGTTTTTGGTTAATGTTCCTGTTGCAGAACTTCAGCTGTGGCCTAATGGGGGCAGGTGAGGACCGCAGTTCTTTGGACATCCTGCTGGTTTTTTGACCTCATGGGTGAGCTGTTCCTCTGCTCCTAGGTTGACCCACCATAATTAGGAAGGTTCACTGCTGTTCCATGTTGTCCCCCTTTGTGGATAATGCTTTTCTATCGTGGTATGCTGGAGTACCACCGCTTTAAAAATGGCTTTACAATGTTTTCCAGACAGAGAGACAGAATTTCCTTGAATTACAGCATGTTATCTGGCTTTTAAAGATATTCTTGTGTTATTTATTCTGTCAATCATGTCCTAATTATTAGTTTTATTTTTTTTAACTTAAAGCAGGTTTAAGTGGAGAAACTGAAATAAGCTTCAAAAAGAGGTAAATGTACACAATGGCTTTTCTCATATGTTCATGTAGATTTAGACACAGACAACCTCAATGAAGCACTGCATTTTGTGTTCGCTTTTGTTATCTGAGGATCTGAAACATTTACATGTGACAAGCCAATAAAAATATGTGAAATTACAATGGAATTGGGATTTACTAAATAAACTATTTTGGACTTTTTTTGGACTCTTCGTAATTATATTTGTTTTCTGGAGCTACTGCACTTTATGGAATTGAAATAGTCATTTACAGTCTGAAAAGCTGTACTAATGAAATGTCGTTTTGTATACACTCGTTGTATGGGGGTACATTTTCCAATGAGACTGGGTTGCTCTGTGTATACAGATCGACAATAAATGTAGTCTGTTTCTTACATAAAATCCTAATAAAAAGGGGGACCTCAGGGTAAATTCATGCCACATTTTTTCCCGATAATTTGGGAAAAAATAATAACCTTTTTCCATAAGTTGTATCTTATTGAAAAACTAAAAATGTAATTAATATATACAAAACAATTCAGCTAAACCAGCGATCAAACATGATCTTTTTCACAGTGGATAAGAGAGAAAGAAATTATAGCAAAAAGGTACAGAGGTGTTTTCACCTTTAATGTGTAGTTTTCCATCAGATGAAGGGAGATAATTAGGATAAATGAGTATTATATGGTTCTGGTTCTCAGGAATGTGTAATAACACTATTAAGAGCAAGTACAAGAATCGTGCAACACAAAATACAAAGCAGCAAATAATTGATTTAAAATGCGTAAATGAGCCCAAGCAGTAAAAATTTAAAATGCCTGATTAACACCTAGAGTTAAACATCTGGAAGGAATGGAGGATAATGTAGGAATACCTTGAAATAATACTCCAGTGCTTTGTAGGCAAAGCAGGAACATCCACAGATCATGCTGCAAATGGCCAGTCTTTTATAACATTTTGGGTCTGGCGGGTCATTATTTACAGACTCTGGAGTTGCTTTAGGAGGGGATAATGGAAGAGTTTCTCCTTTTTCCTCATCCGCCGCTTTGGAATTCCGCATACCTTCAAAGCAAGACAAGTTAAAGTGTTTTCACTTGAAACAAGATAATTGTACAGTAATCTAATCATACCATATTCATCCTGACTGGACTGAAAAACATAAAGATCATTGTTTCTACTGTCAGCTTAAGCAAATCACTAAAAAGGTTCCTAAGAGCTTTTAATGTGTCTTTTTTTCTTGACACGGAAAGTCCCAAGCTATTGGACAAAAAAAAAAAAAAAAAAAACCAGACTTGAACGATTACACTGAAATTGTTCAACACAGCTTGCTGGACTGGTTTGTTGTCATGACAAGAACAAAAATATGAGATACAGGATAGTATCTTATCTGTTCTTGTTTTTCACTTTAGAATGGTAGGAATACCACTTCGCTCTTGATCCTTTTTATTTTGTAATACAATGTGTCTAGTTCTGCTTTGAACTTGTGTAATACTGAACTGTCTTGTGAACAATGTCATGAGACCTGTTATTGTGGTTTCCCTAAAGCTTTGTTTAAATGTTCTAACAGGTTTATTGTTTTCAATGGTGATAATTTTCAATGTGAACATTCAATTAAAGCACAAACCTGGTCAAGCTTAAGAGGCGGTGTCTTTAATCCACTCCTGAAGCCAAGTTACTCCAGTGTTGACAAACGATGAAAACAGATTGAGGATTAATCTCCTGATGAAATTCCTCCTACAGCTGACTGAGTTATTTCTGCTCCTTCTAATAGGAAAAATATCAGCAAAAAGTTCCTCTCACAAACATCTGAACAGGATCAGCAAGTCAACTCCTCAGAGGGTGGTTTACACCTGAGAGCCGGTGCCGTATGTGCAGGACAGGAAGACGAGCCTGGACTGAAACTTAGTCTGGACTGAAACTTAGTCACACCTTCTTCACCGACCAGCCCTCTTTTTTTTTTTTGCTTACCTTATACGCACACGTAAAGTTCTCACACTTTTCTTCCCCTGATTATGTTGCATTACCTCCCTTGGTTCCTCCCCTACTTCCTGTAAATCATGTCAGTTACTCTGAAAAACACAGTTAGGTTACAGCCCAGTTTCTCCTCCTCAGTCCACATTCCAGAGGCAGCAGTAGAGGTGTGTCAAAACTTGTAATGCCACAAGGAGAGATAGTTATCCCAGAGGTTTCAAAAACACATTTTCTGTCTCTAAGCTCATCAAAACACTGTCAAACAAAATGTGCAGTTATGTTTCCCTAGTTTGTTATTGTCTATCTGCTCTCTTATCTACAGATAAGATTCATTTACGCCCCGTTGACTCAGTGATGACAAAGAATGTTTCCTACTGTAGATGCAGAAGCTGTCCCATAAGGTAAACATGAGCATAGGAGTGGAACGATTCCAATGTTCATTAATCAATAATTGCAGCGGGATGGCCCAGATTTTTCAGAAATGTTAGTGTCAGCTCGGCTTTACAAGTATCTGCACGCTTATGCTACTAAAAAACATTAAAGGTACTGTGCTTGTAAAAAATATTCCAACCATTGCCTTTCATTTGGTTTTTGCTACAATCACAAAATTAAATGTATTATGTGGAGTTTTTATGGGGTAGACCAACTTAAATAAGCGCAGTTTTGAGGTGGACATAGTATCCATTGGTATTCAATCCCTTTGCTCTGCGTTCCCTTAATAACCTGGTCTAATTTATCTTTAGCTTACCATACTGTGTTAAAATGTGGTGCATTGAACTTACTTTACTCATAAACTTTAGTAAAGTAGTGCAGAACTGCTAAAAGGAAGGGAAATGTTGTTTCGAAATGTTTACAAAGGGGAAAAAAATTAGCATTTGTTTTCAGCACTATAAAGTCAGTAATTATTTTGTTGGACATAAAATTGTCTTTGGGTACTGCTTATGCAGCTGTACACTTCTAGAGCCTGAAACTTTCCCCAAATATCTCTCTAAAAGTATTGTGTTGTCTTGTTTCCCTCTAGCACATTTTTCACCTAGATTGTACTGAATTTACCTCCGTCCTTCATCTCATTAATTCCCTGTCCCCGTTAAGGTATGCACCTGTACAGCATGATGCTGCCACTACTATGTTTTACAAGTGGTGGCAGCACGGAGAAATGTCAAAAATTTGAAAACTGCTAAAGTATTACAGAACCCTTTTTTAAGCTCACCTCTCTCTTAATTGGACACCAAAGAGGCTCAAACCTCAAATTGACGTTGTGACAATGACAATAAAACATGCAAAATACTTTGGCTGTTTCTTTTATCAATATTTGAAAAGCTATGCAATCGCCCTCCACATCCAAACCAATGAATTACTTAAATACTTGCAGTTCCTTTTAAAATAAAGCTTTTATTGGTTATTTTAAGAGACATTCAGTTGAGAGAGGAAGTTGGCAAGCATTAATTTGTTTTTTTATATCAAGAGGAACTAAAAATGTTATTTTTTGCTTTGATAGTGTTGTTAAAGAAGTATAGAGAAAGTCATAGAAATTGCATTGTTTAATTGAGGATATAGAGGAAGGAGATTATACACTGTCAAGACAGAAACAGTTTTAATAAGGGAGGGTGGTGCACGGAAACAATGGTAAGGTGTGTGGTAACTATGGGATATAGGTTCATAGTGGAGGTGAAAATACATCAGGAATCAATACAGAACCACATCTTTTCTGCAGTGGGATGAACAGGTTCTCAGATAAGGGAAGATAAAATCACCATTAATTGTGATTTTGCAAATGACACTTTAATTTGTAGTGAGAGTAGGGAGCAGGAGGAAAGATGGTTGGGGTCTGAATGGGCCACAAACTTAATACTCATTATGTGTTCATGGTGTGAATGAGCATCTTACAGCCTTGAAATAAACATTACTATTTATAAAGTGCAGGAATGATCAGGAATGTAGACAGTGTTGGAGAAAGGGAAACCAGTTTAAACATACTGGTGCAAAAGGCATTGATATGTAAAGGTTCAGTGCATTGCAAAATAAATAAATGTGGTGCACAAATAGTGCCAATTAACAACACATGTCATCTCAAGGCACTTTACAGTTCACCAGATCATACAGTCAAATGCATTGACTCATTGACTTGAAACCAATCCTTCACACTAAGCATGCTTGTAGCGACAGTGGAGAGGAAAAACTCCCTTTTAATAGGAAGAAACCTCCAGCAGAACCAGGCTCAGAGTGAGCGGCCATCTGGGGTTTAAGGAGACAGAAGCCGAGATTCAAAAAGCAAATACATCAGCCGGGCAGACGAGCTCCGAGCTAGCTCCCATGTCAGAGGATGAAGAGAGCCCAGACTGAGATTTTAAAAATGTCAAGTAGGTTTTCATTTAAACTACTATGTTCAGAGAATTGGCTTCCCACTTGGCTTCCCACTTTTCCTGCAGTCTGCAGGAAATTTATCTAACATTATTTTGGTATTATTTCAAATGCAATGGACATGGAAACAGAAACAAACTGAAAAAAGAACAAAAAAAAAAAGAAAGAAAAGGAGAGAGGTGTGCTAAACATTTAAAAGTGAGAGAATAAGATAAGAACAGAGGAGAAAAAGAAGGATAAATAAAATATATAAATAGGGAACTGTCAGGCGTGTATCCCTTTAAAAGCCCCGCCCTTACATCTTCATCCACCAATGAGAAGTTGAGTTTCAAAGAGCCCGGATGTAAACACGGAAATAGGGTATTCAAAGTAGGAGTTGACGACACGTCACACCAAAACACCATCATATGTATTTTCTAAAATCATATCACTAACAGCTTACATTATCATTATATTTCCAACTGATATCTTCCACAAACTGATGATGGACAAAAATACAGGTTCGGTTTTGGCTACAGAGAGGTATGGCAGTACACAGTCTTGGAAATATTTAGTGAATAATGGAGTATTGGAGAGGAAGAGGGATGGGAGTGAGACTCAATCAAGAGGCAATCCAGTGGTTGGATTCTTTAAAGTAAGAATTCGATTTTTTTGTTGTGTTTTTGTTGTTGTTTGTTTTCTTGTTTGTTTTGCTAGGTATAATTAAAATGAACTTAAATCCTAATTGGTTAGTGTTGGATTTCAGAGCGTCTTTCTGCCTCAAGGCTACCCAGAGAGTGTCAGCAGTGATTACCTGCAATACCAATTCTGGGATACTCTTCAGGTACAATTACCTTTCAACAGCATATAAATGATCCTGTAGTGTCAGTCTGAAGCTTTCCGGTTTTTTCCAGGCTTTTTCTAGTTCCCTGTCGGGCACTCTGGCCACTCAGGCTTCACTTAAAGGAGTTGGAGTTGGAAACCAGGAGGCGACTGTAGCTGCAGCCACAGTTACTTGGTTATTAAGAGGTGCAACTTTCACATAAACTACTAAAAGGACGCATTTATTATTCATGTTAATTCTATTTTGTATTTTAATTATCTTTTATCACAGATGGAACTGGTATGCTGGGAAGAATCCTCTTTGCCTGGAGAAAAGGGTAAGATTGTTTTGTGTTTTTGCAGCTCATCATATGCTTTTTAGTTTTAATTTGATTTCTTTCTACACTCTAGGAGTAAACTGGACTCTGAGGCAAAAAAGTGGAGGTATAAACCCAAGTTAATGGACTTACGCTTAAATACTGAGCTGCTACAGCTTTGATTGTAGCGATGTTTTTATCTTGTAATTCCCTTCTAGGCTTTTTGCAGATGTTCTCAACGACATTGCGATGTTCATGGAAATCTTGGCCCCTCACTTTCCAGCCTGCTTCACTTTAATCATTTGCACTGCAGGAATATTCAAGGTAGAACTTGAAAAATCATTTCAAGTTTGAGAAACATATGTTGAATTTAGTGTTCTGTGGGATCCAAGTGATTAAAGCTTCAGGCTAGATGAAAAGGAAATATCCCATTATAGTCCTGCTGTGGGGAAATATTTCCCCTGTATTTAACCCCCCCTAACAAAGCAGCTTGCTGCCATACTTAGTAGTGGAGGGGCTCGTTAGGGATTAAATATCAGGGACCATCACCCCTATTACATCAGCTATTTTGTGTTATGAATTTTAGGGTAGAAAAGAGTGAAAACCTGATATAATTTTTAATAGATCAGTTTTACAGATAATGCTGAAAGGTCCTTCCTGTTTGGCTGACCATGGATACTGTGTAATCCATACATCTAGTTATAAATTTAGCCCAGTGCTCTAACGGGATGACACTGATCCCAGATAACCAAGGTCAGAATTTATTTCAAAGTTCCATGTTTTTCAATTATCGAGCAGATGTTATTTACTGTTAACATGAAATTGTTACAAGAGCACAAAATAAAATAAAAAGGTCCATGCATCTTAATAGGGTTCCTTGTAAAAGACTAGGCTGGTAAACTCTATGGTTGCTTGTTCATTTTCCCTTTCTTATCAAGTCAATAGTTGGAGTTGCTGGTGGTGCAACCAGGGCTGCACTTACTGTTCATCAGGCGCGCAGGGATAACATGGCGGATATATCAGCCAAAGATGGCAGTCAGGTAACCTTTGCTTTTAAAAACATAAATCAAACGTTCCAGTAAGATTGAATAGGCAGCAAACCAACACTTACTGCTTGTAAGTCTTATTTACTTTTCAAAAGGCAACAAATACAGGTGAGGACAGAAGGCCTCATTTCTGGAAAGACACTCTTTTCCATAACCACGCCCTTTTTTTATCCACAATTTCTATGATCTGAGGAATTCACAAATGTGATCTGAATATTTAAAAAAAAAATGTGGTGACATTCTCCAGAGTATGTTATCTAGAAAATCTGTGTTATTTCTCAATACCAGCAAAAATGGCTGTTTAGAAGAATAGTAAACGATGAGAACAGATCACAATCAGACTTTTTTTCCCCCCAGGTACCTGTATATATGAGGAATTTGACCTCAATTGTGCAACATGCTTACTTATACAAGAACATGATGATTAAAAAACTGAAAGGCTGTGGAATAAAAAGCTGTAGTTTTGTGACTTTTTGAAAGCCCATAGAATTTAAAATCTTGTCAATTAAACTCCAGACTAGTGGAGGTATTGGTATGATGTAATGTTCTAATCTTAAATATGTGTTTTACTTGCTGCATTTTTATTTATTAACAGCCTAATATTTTTGTAATTTTCTGCAGGAGACTTTAGTAAATCTTGCTGGGCTCCTGGTTAGCCTACTACTGATACCTCTGGTCACTGATAATCCGGTGTAAGTTAAGATGCAATATTTATAAACGCCATATATCTTTCAAAATTAATCTAATTGTTCCTTCTTTGTGCTTTTCAGCCTGACTCTCATCCTGTTCTTCCTCTTTACCATCCTTCATCTCTTTGCCAACTACAAAGCTGTGCGTTCAGTGGTCATGGAAACGTTCAACGAGGCCCGTCTTTCCATTGTGTTGCAGCAGTACCTGAAGGACAGGCGAATCCTGAGTCCACTTGAGGCGAATCAGAGAGAACCTGTATTCCTAGGTGTGTAAAACCCAAAACATCTTTAAGCTTTCAATTTGGATTTTAAAGCGGGTTCTTGTAATGTGATAAAAGTCTTATATGTTGTTTTTTTCTTTAGAATTTGGAAAAACTGCACCAATTAAACTTGGTGTGAGGTTACAGGACGCTGTACGGAGGTAACTATAGATTCATGACCACACAAATGAAGCTCAACACAGTTTTCAGTCACTTTGTGTGTTTTGTAGCCCAGAGGAGCTGAATTTGGCTTTAAAGGAAAACAACATGCCTTTCCTGCTGGGAGTTAGAAATGGTATGCTAGCTTCTCTTTTTAAAGGATGTCTTGTGTTTAACTAAAATTTCATCAAGTTCTTAACACTTTTTCTCTTTGCAGGTTGTGTTTGTGTTTGTTTGGGGGCAGAAGCATCAATCCATGATGAAATCAGAGCAGTGTGCCAGGCTGTGTGTATCAGCAACACCTTAACTTGTCCAACAGCTGCAGTAACAACATCTACAAAACCAAAGGAGCAAAGTGAGTGACCTTTTCCTGCATGTCTTTTAGTTAGCAAGATGTTTTAATATTTTGTTGCATTCACAGTGCATTCTTCCCCCCTACAATTTAAGGTTTGTGGGAAATAGTGCTTGAGAGTCACAAGCTGATGGATGCCCATTTCTCTCCATTTCTCAAAGGTGAGTTTGCACAGAATAGATTGAACTGTTAGTATATCCCTGTGTGCATGATTTGTTTATACATTTATAATATTTAGGTGTTAAAGCTGCCGGATGGGACACAAAAAGGACTTTGTTGGACTGGGATGAGTGGAGAGTTGAGTGGAAAACAAAAACCACCTGAGCTGCTTTATTGTTTCATTTTTAACTGCAGCGTTTCTATTTCAGTTTAATGAGCAGCTGTATTTCTCTGTGTTTTATCATTCTTTCAAAATAAAAGAAGGAATTGATTTGAGGCAGTGTTGGAGAAAGTAAATATTTTTGTATAAGTAATATGTAATTTCTCATTAAAGACGATATTCAAACAATCATTTGATTTGTTTTGAACCTTCACACACATATATACTGTCCTCATTAGAAATTTACAAGCTCCTCTCATGGGCATGAAAAGCATTTTATTTGGGATCTTTAGTTATTTATTTTAATCTTTCTACAGTTGCAGTTTAAAGACAGTGTGATGCAAGGGCGTAGGTTTGATTTTAACTTTGGTAGTATGTAAGATATGTAAACATTTTGCATTTAAGATTTTAAAAGAAAGTTTTCGTCTGTCAATATTCTCCATCCAGAACTCCTGAAGAGGAAACGTTTCTGTTTCAACTGGTTTCATTTAGTAAAATATCTTCTTTAAGGAGCCTTTGGCTATCTGAAATAAAAGATACAGTTCCACAAATCAAAAAACTCTGTCCTGCTTCTTTACAGAACTGCAATCAGAAGCTTTTGCTTTTTTTAGCATAGATAATTTTTAGTTTTAAGTTTAAGGCAGAATAATCAGAGAGTTAAACAATGCAGCACAGTTGATGCGCTGCTATG